CTTTAACCGCAAAATCATTGTCTCAATGTGTCGCTACCGTCCTAAGATGCACCAAGAGTTTCTGTATATGATTATTCCCTCCTTTGAAATATCATATTTAAAGATTCTTAAGATACACCCGCAAGGGAGAGTGCCCCATTTCCTCATCCCTCAAGCATTATAAATTCCTTATGTGTGTGTGTGTGTGTGTGTATATATATATTAGGGAAAATTACGTATAGATGGAGTTAAAGTTTCATATTTACTTAGAGACTGAGTCAAATTTCCATATTTCTCTAAAATGGATTGTTGAGGTGGCACATGGTTTTTTACTGTTTAAAAAATTATGGTGCCTAAAATGCCCTTTCCTAACAAAAAAGTAGTACCTTCAGTTCAAAAAAGTAGTACCTCTGGAGAAAAAGTAGTACCTTCGCCGGTGTTTAAAAAACATGGTACCTGGACACCAAAAAGTAGTACCTTCAGTTCAAAAAAGTGGTACCTTTGAAGAAAAAGTAGTACCTTCACGGAAGGGTATTTTAGGCACCACAATTTCTAAACAGTAAAAAACCATGTGCCACCTCAGCAATCCATTTTAGAGAAATATGAAATTTTGACTCAGCCTCTAAGTAAATATGAAACTTTGACTCCATTTATATGTAATTTTCCCTATATATTATATATCCAAGTAATGGTCTTCTGGACCCCACTTTAATCCTTGCATATTTATAATTTGCGTGCAGCTGAGATCTACCCACACTATTGTGCGGATGAAGTCTACCCGCACTAACTTTCCTTACATAACCTTTGTAACCTCTTTTTACTAAAGTAATGAAACAACAGGCTTTTATTTAATAGTCCTAAAGCTTTTGCCAAAGTCAAAGTTTTCACATCAAACTGTCCTTGCATGTACAAATATCTGTTATGTGTGTGTGTGTGTGTATATATATATTATCTCCTTTATACATCTATCTTTGCTTCCAAGTCATACTAAATCCCCTCCTACTATGAATTAACTTCAAGTACCAATGACATCATCTAATCCTATCAATTATAATGACCCACGAACCTCTTTTTCAAAATGAATATATAAATACAGCTTTGTATCTTTCTGTCTTCTCAGTACCTTTAGTGTATCTCAGCCATTAATCCTATTAACCTTTGCTAATAACTTAAGGATCATCTTCACAATCTGACTCTCCTCTTTATACAATCTTCTTGGCACAATCTTGTGGATGACTCTCATTCGCACCCAATCTACACTCCTCTTTGCCTTTTTCTTTTTTCTTCTTTTTAACTAGTTAGTTCTAACATGGCCCAATTTCTTATTAAAATCAATCTGTTAGAGCATACCCACTGACTTGACTACTCAACTATGTAAATCAATATGTCAAGCTCTCAACGAGCCTGATGAAGTTCACTTTCCTTAACCGCACAAGCCTTAAGATTCTTTATGTACTATAGTATGAAATCTTTTGTGGAGATTGCAAGGTTGCCTCGTGTTGTGGCGGAAACCCAAAAACAATGATGTCAGAGCAGTTAAACACGCACAAGCAATCAAAAGAAAAACAATCGCAAGAACACAAGATTTACGTAGTTCACCCAAAACTTAAGGCTACGTCCACAAAGCGCACCAAACAAAATTCACTATAAAAAGATGAATGATTACAATGGAGAATTTTCTTTCAATCTCTCTCACTTGCTCTTTCTCTTGTGTAGAAACAATTCAAGTCAATCATTCTCCCTAAAGTCTGATTAGGGTTCACATAAATAGTCTCTTTCAAAGGAAACAAACTTGCCCCACAAGTTTTGGCTTTTCAGAGAGTCCAAATAGGTAAAAGAAACAAATTTTTGCAATTCCCAGGATGTAGCCATTCTAGAACTCACTACTTAAAATGGACCGGTCCACAATCTATCCCTCCAACCCATATCTCCACAATCACTTCCCCAAAAAAATCTTTATTAATTAATCTGAATGTCCAAATGCCCAATCCTACCATCCGAAGTGGTTTGCACCACATCTCCCAATTCACCAAGTGGCATTTGAATTCATCTCTCATACCCTCCATAAAATATTCTTTTGCAGCTTCTCAATCCTCTTACTATGGAAGAAGGAATCTAAAACAACAAGAGGTAGTAGGTTGGGAGGTTAAAGATGCTACTCTTATTAAGAGTAAAATGCCCTCCTTTTGAGAGTGTGTGTTTTTTCCATCCATCATCCTACCGAAAGTTCCATCACCATAATGAATGGAAAGAGAGACAAGGGATCACCCTATATTAGCCCTCGAGAGCTACTGAAAACTGCTACAAAAATCCATTCATCCAAACCTAAAATTTAACCGTTGAATTGCAGAAATAAATCTAATGTAGTTCAGGATGTCCCAATTGGCATGATTATAAGCCTTCTCAATGTCCAACCTACACACAATCTCCAGAGTCCCACCTCTTATTTTGGAATCCAAACATTCGCTTGCAATTATGACTGCATCTAAAATTTGGTGTCCTCCCACGAAAGCATTTTGTGACTCAAAAATTACACCATCGGTAACTTTCCTCAGCCTCAAATAGGGCTGTAAATGAGCCAAGCCGAGCTTAGAGGTGTTTAGGCTCGGCTCGACTTATTTCTGAAGGAGTTCGAGCTCGATCGAGCCTAGCTCAATGTTGATCGAGCTCGGCTCTACAAGCTCGTTTATGAGCCATCAATATATATACACACATTACATATATATAAATACACGCACACACAGTTAGGGCATATATATTTATATATTATATAATTAAGCCAATACAAAAGCAGAAGAGGGAGAAAGAACGATGAGAGAGAAATTTTGAAACGCGGAGAAAAATGAAAAAATAATCAATAACTGAATTAAAAATCTACTACAAGGAGTTTTGTAGGCGTTTTGGTAGTCATCGCCTTCGACTACTCACAATGGTTGCTTGATTTTGTGTTTTGATATTGTTGTTGCTCAGTTCATTGCCGCATACCTGATTTGCTTGGAATGTCCAGATCGTGAGAGTCGTCTGAATGAGGAAGTGAGGAAGAGATAGATATTAGGGTTACCAATTTGTAAATGGACTATGGGCCTTTAATTGGATGGGCTAGCTGTTTCATTTTAGAAGCGACAAAAAATATATTAACCTAGTTGGGTTGGCCCAGTTTTGGGTTGGGTTTACTTACGAATTGAAATGAAACTAAATGTTCTTTGACAATTTTATTGGGCTTGAACTCATAATTATGATTTTTATATATATATATATACACACACACACACATATGTCTTTAGGTATATATATTAATGTATGTATATTATTATATATGCTCACGAACACGTTTACGAACTTTGGCCACGAACATGTTCACAAACAAACGAGCCGAGTAGGAGATTGTTTGAGATTGGTTTGTTTATTAATCGAGCTTTAAAAATCTGTTTGAGATTGGTTCGTTTATTAAACAAACGAACACGAACCGAGCTCGAGCTGTTTGGTTCATTTACAGCCCTAGCCTCAAAGCAAGGACTTTGGCTGTGATCTTATAAACACTTCCCACCAGGCTATTAGGCCTAAAATCCTTATAGCCTCTATGGCCCCAATTTTTTTCAGAATGAAGATAATAAAAGATGCATTAATATTCTTCTCAAACTGACCATGCTCATGAAAATAGCATAAAGTGTCTACTACCTCCATTTTGCCCACCTCTCAGTTTTGTTGGAGAAAAGCTATGGTAAACCCATCCGACCCCAGAGCCTTACCACCATTGCAGCTCTTTATGACCATCTCCACTTCCTCTGTGACAAAAGGTCTCTCCACCCAAACTCTATACTCCTCTGGGCTCTGAAATACTATTGAACTCCAAGCCAAACAATAGTGCATATTTTGGTAAAATAACCCTAAACCCCTGTTTATATCCTCCTGCATCGTCAACTCGTCTACATCGATGTGAAGTCTCACAATATGATTGCCCCTTCCATGCACACTTGCAATATGCATGAGATTCTGCTAGCAGAGATGATGGAGTAATTAGATATTTTTTTAGATCAGGTAAGTTACTCACACACTTTGCCCACGCAGGGGCTCGAACCCCTCCCCTCCTCTTTGAGGATGTTGAGGTTATATCATCGGGCCAAAGGCCCTTTGGTGATGAGGCCAACTTGACTGGTGAGGGCTTCATAACTAACAGATAATTGGATACTTCCTACTTTTAGATCAACGGACGAGTTATTCATCAGCAGGCTTCCTGGGTACATGGAATACTTTGGAATTTTTTATTTGCTCTCACTTCTTGTATTTGTCTACTCTCTTTAGTTTTCTATCTTTTCTTTTCTATTCTGTAAGAGTGTATAAAAAGAGCTCTCAAAAGGAGAGCGACCCACAAAACAAAAGAAGAGCCTTTAGTTATGTCCATTTATTTATTGAAGTTTGTTTATGCGGAAAGGAAAACCCAGAGCATCCAAAAGGCTCCTACAGAAAGAGCACACTTCAAACCTCCTTTGAGAGGAGGGCACCCATACACGGGAATCACTCACCACCATTAACAATAACAATCGACAACCGAGGCACATCAATCCATAGCAATCTGAAAGAGTCTAGAGAAGGTACATGCAAAACGTGTCCACATACCCGTATCCACGTTTTAGACACATTTCAAACTGAGTCCCCTTATCCTAAAATTTACATTTAGGGATGGCTGAGATGTCAAATACTGACACATACCCACACCCAATACAAGTATCAAATTCTAACATAGCTTGTTTATCATCCTAAAATAAAGTCCACTAATATTTACATTTATATTTTTTTTTTCTAAAACAAAGGACAATATATAAACATTTAGTTAAGAGGTTGGTTCAAAATCAAAACTCATTCAGCATAAGTATTGCAATTAAAAAAATGCTACAAAATTACTTTCTCTTGCACCTTACAAGCCAATATAACCTTATCAAGTTATAAAAAAACTTTATTAAAAAAATATATATATTTGAAACAAACAAACAAGGATAATTAAGGAGCAATAAAGTACTTACTATAGTACCCCTCTGCATCATCCCAATTATCATGAAGACCACTCCTTTCAATTGCTATACCATCTCCTTTCCCCTAGAAAACCACGAAAATATTAGAGAATCTTACCGTAGTTAACCATCACATAAAATTGGTAAGCACAATAACTATATGGTCTATATTGCCCAAAGTATAAAATATTAGATCGCGCATGGCATAAAGTATGTGAAAGCAAAGTCTTGTATAACAAACAGAAGCACAATAATTGTTATAACATAAGACAACATTTTGAATGAATGACATACTTTTTCCAGACACGATAAAAACTTAATTTTAAAGCATCGACCCTTTATTGACAAGAGAGAAAAATGGGGAAAGGCAAAATTTTTGAAAGTTAGGGAGGAAGAAGAACCTAGCTTCTAGGTTTGAGAACTAACAAGTTAAATAACTGAACTAGACCTAACTGTATGAAGTAGATGATCATAAAGAATCATCACAAATTTTGAATCCTAACATAACTTATGAATAAAGGGTTTGAAATGATTGTCAAACCATCACAAATCATGCATGCACGTAAGATACTATTAGTTATAAACTTCAATCAAATTTTAGATATGTTGCTTTATATGGTCTAAAACATTATTCACAATATAACTGAAAAAATACTCTATACTTAATTCTCTCAATTGCTCATAGCTTCAGATATCATGCCACATTTCCTCATGTATCATCAATCTATTTCTTAGAGAAATAGTCTGAAGCTTTGTTCAATTACTCGATTTGTGATAGAGGCATGAAAAATGAGAACATGGCAATTCAAATTCATCGAACTTAGACTGCATTAACAACACGACCTGATCAAGAGCTTAGTGTCCATACTCAACCCCAAGCTCGATTACATGCAATTAAACACCTGTTCAACCCTCAATTGAACTTAAGCTGCCATGCAACCTAACCCAACAAGAGTTTTTATTATTCAATGCAGGAACATTTCCATTAGCACACCTAAAACCTCCTCTTCCACCTCAACTACTAAGAAAAACTGATAAATAAACCGAGTCCCTTCATAGAAGAAGTTCAACGCATATCCTATACACAAATGAGTGGAAGCATTCTCAGTGAAATTAGTATCAGATAACTTGTGAATAAAGGCTTGTGGTGCTGCCGACTTGTGAATGCCTAATACTTGGTTGCAAGGCTTGCCTAACAGCCACCTTGGCCAAAGTACTTTAAGCCATTCCTGTAATATGCTGTCTGTAAGTCATCCCCACCTCAAGAAACTCTCCGACATGTACTTGTAAACCCCAATCATACCCAGCCTGCTGATCAGGCATCTTCGACTATGAGTTCTTTTTTGCCAAGATATATCTGGCGGTGACATCTTATCCTTGGATAAACCTTGCCGCGAGAAACTCCTATACATATAAGTCTTGATACCTTCTCCAAAATCATAAAATGTAGCAAGAGCTTGTGTGACTGACATCAAGTATCTGAAGAGTGAAAACTAACACAAGGACCTCTTCTCCTCTTAAAAAGCCTCTCTTCTCCTCAGATAAGCCTCCACTAAAAGACTCAAAAGGACCTCATCTCTATGACAAACCTCACCGAGGAATCGAAAAAATCACAACCACCTTCACGCTATGGATAAACCTCATCAAAGACTTAAAAGCTTGCAACAAACTCTCTACATATAAGCCAGACTCACGAGAACCTCCTACTATGTGTTAACCTCAAGGTTTCACACCAAGGGTAACTTGGTAACTTTGATGATGACAACCTATTAATGTGGGATTTTGATAGTCTACTTGAGTGTGGTAAATTTCAGGATATTTTATATAAACTCAAGCATAAGTAGATCCATGGATAAATGCACAAGCTCATTTGGGTCAAAGCTCATGGCCAAAGGAAGTCAACCATTGAAGATCAAGTTCAAGACCATGGGGGTTATTAGGTTGGCGAGAGCTTGAATCCTTGTAAAGTAATTTATGTTGCATTTGATTCAAAAGGTCAACTCTAGGGAATTTAAATGAATTAAGGTCCTAGGCTTTAAATTTAAATCCTATCTTTTTGAGGTCCCTTGTATAAAAATGACTTGGCCAAGAATTAAATGATTTTCATGAAAAAGGGCAAATGAGTCATTTGGTCACTTGGTGTCACATCAGCCCTTAAAGTTTTCAAAGTGACTGTCTAGATTATTTCAAGTAGACATCTACACCTTGATGAATTGGCCAAAGCACTGCAAGTACTAAGCTTCAGGAGTTGGCCTACTAGACATCTACATGATCTCCTGTAGACCATCTATCACTTAATGAGTTGACAGAGGACTGCAAGTGCAAAAGGTCAGGAATTTTTGGAAGGTGGCACCCTTTTGTGTTTAATGGTGTATCTGGAAGAAGCAGAATAGGAGATCCTTTGAAGAAGAGGAAACTTCTTTTGGGGCATTAAAGTTTCTTATTGTTATCTCTCTTTTTTGTTGGATTTTGGGGAGAAATTGTAAATCTATAAAAACGATAGTTGATTTTTTGGGCACCTTGAGCTCTTAGGTCCTTTTTGGCTCGATCTTTGTGTAGCTTTCGGGAAGCATTCCACTTTTTAGTGCTTTCTAATACATGCTTACTAAAAAAAATACATGCTTAGGTAAGTGGTTATGGAGGTTTGGTATTGAGAGGGATAGATTGTGGAGGAGGGTGATAGGGTGTCGGTTTTTGGCCCCCCCGGGGGGTGGGGCGGGTGGGTCTGGGGTCTATACCTGGAGGTGTCGGTGTTTGGAAAGACATTTGGAAGGGATGGAATGAGTTTTCTAAGCATATCCGATTTAGAGTTCATGATAGTAGGGAGATTCGGTTGTGGGAGGATGTATGGTGTGGAGATCGCACCTTAGCATGTTCTTTCCCTAGACTGTTTAGGATTGCCGTGGATAGGCATGCCTTGGTGGCTGACTACCATCACCTTGATAGCGGGAGACCGGTTTGGGATGTGCTTTTTCAGCGATCTTTTCAGGATTGGGAGATGGATGATGTTCTTGGTTTTTTTAGAGGTGCTGTATAGCCAGGTGATCCGGGGAGGAGGTAGGGATTATCTTGTTTGGACTTCTTCTGCTGGAGGATTGTTTAGTGTGAGATCTTTCTTCGGATGCCTTTTGGACTCGGATTGGGTGGTCTTCCTGTGGAAGGCAGTGTGGCGTACCAAGGCACCATTGAAAGTGGTTTTTTTCACTTGGACGGGTGTGTGGGGTAAAATTCTGACGCTGGATAATTTGAGAAGGAGAAAGCTTATAACGGTGAATTGGTGTTGCATGTGCAAGTGCAATGGCGAGTCGGTTGATCATCTTCTTTTGCATTGTCTAGTGACGGTGGATTGTTGGAACCTTTTGCTAGGTTTATTTGGAGTTTGTTGGGTCATACCTAGATCTACTAGAGGCTTGATGGACACCTGAAGAGGGAGTTGGGTGGGAGCACAGGCTTAAGGGTTCTAGAAGATGGCGCCTTTGTGTCTTTGGTGGTGCTTGTGGAGGGAGCGGAATAGAAGATCCTTTGAAGGACAGGAATCTTCCATTAGTGTTCTGAAATCCTCTGTTATTATATCTCTTTGTTTTTAGGGTTCGGGTAGATTATGCTCTTCTACTGAGGAGATTGTTGAGTTTTTGGCTTCCCTGGGGCCTCAAGGGTTACAGGTGTTTGTGGTCTTGTTAGGGACGCGTTTCCCTTTTGAACGCTTTTTTATTGAATTGTTTACTTATCAAAAAAAAAAAAAAAAAATAGCCAACTAGACATCTACATGATTCCCACTAGAAAATTACCCCTTAATGTCCTACAAATGGACTGCAAGTGCAGTATTCTCAAAGCTTAAGGACTAGACGTCTACATCAAAAGTTGAATCTGCAGCTAGACGTCTACATGCATACGGAACAAGCAGGTTTTGAAAGTAAGTGATACAAGAAGACTAGATGTCTACATTAAATGCACTGGATGTGTACATGACTCGCGTTTTTCTAAAAACCTGTTTCCAAATAGCCTCTTAAAGCACTATAACGAACACTTTTTCCAATGAGGCTACATATCCATTTCCCTTTTGAGCAACTTTTGGGCTTTTGTGCATATCTTTTGAATATTTTCAAAAAGCTTTACTCATTTTGGGTAAGCCTTGCTAAATCTTAGATCTTACTTGAAAATCTTAGAGGAACTTGATGTCATTCTTAGAAGTTGAGCTTTGATCACTTGCTACATCTATCCATTGAGGGATCACTAGAGAAAGAGTACTTTGATTGTACATCTATCCTTTGAGGGATTATTATAGTGAGCTTTGAGTTGTAAATGTGCTGAAAGTCTTATCTATCTTTAAAATATATTGTAAAAGGGTTGGTCTAACCCTTGAAGCCTAGGTGAGGTGCTCATTTAGCAAAGAGAGACAAGCTTGAGGAGCTTTGTAAAAGTTGTTTTCCACCCGTGAAGGGAAGCTGTAAAGGTTTTCCCTCCATCCATGAAGGAGAGTGAGATAGTGAATTTGGGAAACCTTCTAGAGGTGCTCCTAAGGCGTGGACGTAGGCAGGGGAGCCGAATCACATTATGACTTGGTGTTCTTGAGTTTGCATTTCTCTAACTCTTTATCTTTGAGTTTTGCATTCTCTGTTGCTCTTATATTTGATATATACATTTGCACTCTAAGTGGTTTGAGATAAATTGACAAATTACTATAGCTTGCTAAAAGACGCAATTCACCCCCTCTTGGGTCATTGTTTGGGCAACACCATGGATAATCTTTCATCGAAGACTTGGATGAAACCTCATACATTACTCGAGTTGGGAGCAAGACTTGGGAAGTTTGAACAAGCCTAGTCTGTGGCTACCTATTATGAACCACCACAAGGCTTATGAATAACCCTCTGGGATCCCAAGATACAGGTCATTGAAGTCCTAAGTTCGTCGAGGTAGCCTTCAACCTCTTCTCGAGGCTCATACAAACCTCGACTTGTCCCAAAGGAACAGAGAGACCCCTGACTACTAAAACTAACTGTATCCGAAACCACATGACTACCAAATTCAGCCAAAACTTGTCACGTTTACCACTTGCCTGATTAGTGTCTTATCACATTTAATGCACATTATGCTCCATTAGTTACTCATTTAAACCCCTACAGTAGTCATCATCATGGCCATACCTAGCTCTGATCATGTCTTAAGCCTAGTATCATAAAGCCATGTCTGTCAACCCATCAAGTTACAAGAAGGGAATTATCTCAATGACAGCCCTCCTTGCACAGACCACTTCGGACATTGGGTTATCTCCAACCACTAACTAAAAATAAACCTCAAGACTTGCATTTAAGGCACCAAAGAAGAAAAGACCATCAGCTACCAACCTTACCCTCACTAAAGAAGACTTTCGTAATCCTCAAGCCAGACTTCTATCAAAAACCCCATAATACCCTCACGTTGACTAATAATTAGCCCTTAGTGTACCTAAATCCCTTAAGTAAACCCTCTTACCTCTTCCCTCTAGAGTATTAACATCAAGGAGTCTGTGTATGTTATCAACTGCCACCCACTTTCTTTATTTAGAGCTTGCCTTGAATTTCACCTAGCTCAGAGCCACCTGGGACGCACTATACCTCCATCATCCAAATCATCACTTCAAACCCGCAAGAAAAAATGCTTTTGACAAAAAATCACTTAGTGAATGAAAAAGACTACCAAACAGATGGTGACATTATATGTGTGAAAAGCATATCCTTTACCTTTTCAAAGGACTACAAAGCCAAAAAACAAAGGTAGAAGTCTCAACTCATTTCATATTTAAAGGACCAGACTAATACTAAATATGAAATTAGGGAAAACATGGACCACTATATATATTATAAATTGACATATGCATAAGCATAAGAAATACCTGTTTACGAACTCCAGCAGGCGACTCCCCAAATATATCATCACAGAACATATCGTTGGATCTCTCACTCTACACAATTTGATAAAATAGAAGTTAATAACCTAAAGTTACCAAACACTTAAAAATCAAATTAATCTTTTATCTAGTTAAGGAGTACAAAAATTAAGTAGCCAAGAAGAAGTGTGGTTTAGCAACCAAAGAAAAAAAAAAAAAAAAGGTCTGTTTAGCATATAAAAAGGGGGATCCAAGAGACAAAGATTCAAGTTCTTTAAAATATCTGTAAGGTTTTCAGTGATGGTTAATATACCTTTGGAGTACCCTCTCCCAGTCCCCCAGCACCAGAAGTCTTCTCAGATGCAGAAACCCCATTTTGTGAAGGGGTTTTACCAACAGAAAATGATGGATCAGCAAAATTGGTATCTGCACCATCACCGAGACCATCAAGAACTTCTGGAACAACATTGACAGCTCCTACTGGATTAGACGGCAGCTCCACGAGCTTCTTATCTGTTCCAAAACTATAACTGTTAGCACAAACAGAACAAACCAACACAACAGAAACATTGTGCATGTGCCAAAAGATTAATATCTCTGTGAGTTGTGTTCACTATGTAGGTTCACCTAGCTTTGCCAGCCTCATACGTCAAGAAAGCTCAGGTGATTAGCACATAACTCAAAATCCAACACATAAAAATTACTGAACAGTAAAAAATTTAGCTTTACTGATTCCCAAATAATAGAGACCAGCCGCACAAAGTATGTCGGAGCAATACCAACACCGATGGTAGTATGTGAAACATATAAAGTGTAAACTATATAAGGAAACCAAGCTTATAAAATAAACACTATATTACCAAACCAAGCCTTGTTCCGAAAGAGAAAAGAATGACTATAAGCTCAGCTCAGGTTCTTCTGAGTAAGTCTTAACTCAGGTCGAAAATAAAATTGAGCTCAGCAAAGCCAAGATGGAGAGCAAGTAGGCAAGTTCAACTAATTAAAGTACTAATTTCCAAGCTCAAATTGAGAAAAGAAAACTAGAAAGACACAAAATGTAAGTTGTGGATGTGAAGCCTTACCAATATCCTCTGGACGAGGCACACATTCTTGCTGAAACTGCTGAGTTTTATATTTTTCTAGGATGGCCTGCCTCCGCCTTCTGCTCTCCTCCTTAATTCTGTTGAGATCTTCCTCTTCCTGATCCACAAGTTGCAATGCAATCCTTTCTTGGGATTCCTCTTGTTCATCTTTGTCTCTGCGGCCAGTAAAAATATGCTTTACTCAATACAGAGGAGAAAGAAAAAAAAAACAAAAACAAACAAACGAACCTTACATTTTGACCGCCAATTATATAAATCTATTCAAGAAGATGAGATACCTTTTAAGTTTATCTTCATTCCCTTCCAAATGATCATGTCTAGAACTACAAGTTCTTTCTGGATCATTTTTCCTTGCCCTCTCCCTTTGTTCTGTTTCAACTTGCCTCCTATGCCGGGAATTCTCAAACCTATCTCGATTAGCAAAGCCATCATTAACATTTGCATATTTATGGTGCCTACTAACCCTATCAATCTCTTTGTCCCTGTCATTATACCTATATCTATCCCTTCCGCTCTCCCTTCTCCCATCCTTCTCCCTCTCACTCTCCTTGTCTCTCTCCCTGTACCTCTCTCTCCCCCTCTCCCTATCCTCATCTCTATTTCTCTCCCTGGTCCTCTCTCTCTCCCCCTCCCTGTCTCTATCTCTATCTCTATCTCTATATCTATCTCCATCTCTTTCCCTGGCCCTCGCCCTCTCCCTCTCCCTCTCCCTCTCACGATCTCGTCCCTTCTCTCTTGTTCTGTCCACATCCTTATCTGTATCCCGAGTCTCCCGACTCCCCTCCATATCTCTCTCCAATGTCTCCCTACTCCCTATCCTCTCTGTATCCCAAATCTCCTGACTGTGATGTCTGTACACTTGCCCAATATATCTGCTATTACTAGAACTATGTTCCCTTTCTTTATCCCTCGACAGATTTGTACTTCTATGCTGATAGTTTCCATAGCCCCGAACCGTTTCTTCATTGTCTGAGTCCCTCACAGTTTTCCTATTATCTGTGTAGTATGCAGCATCTTGCTGGTGTATCGTCTTCAAAAGGGATACCTCTTGTAAAAGGCTTTGGGACCGAGATCTTTCCCAAGCCTGGTCATGCAACCTCAATCTGTTCCTAGTATGAACCTGTTCATGGTACCCACCACGAGAGGGCGAGTGTGCAGAGATTTTGTGTATGGCCCCAGTACTTTCAGATGACAATGATTTCCTTTGATCCTTTATGTCACTTTCATCACCATAGTAGCTCTTTTGTTTGCAACTTCCTTCCACAGGGGATCCAGATTCTAAATGTGGTTTATTGCCTTCTTTATGAGATTGGCGTAAAACATCCCCACTGAAGAGCTGATCGTAACTTGAATTACTCCCCAAACCAGCCTCACCATGGATCTTATAACCACTAGTCAAATTTTTCCTCCTATCCAATGACGTAGTGGTCACCAACTCATCATCACTCTTATCCTCTCCAAAAGACTTTGACTCTCGACCACTTCTTCTACCTAGATTGTCTTCCAATGGCAAATTGCAATTAAGGCCAACTTCATCTTGACCTTCAAGAACTCCCTGCCAAAAAATAAATAGACAAATAAAGATTGTATGAAGATAACAATTTAAATGCATGTATTACCAGTACATAAGGTCACAAAAACAAAATTACTCAATATATGCAAAAATAAACATGTAACCAATTCTTACAAATCAGTTGAAATCCATCAATCTTCAGGAAACGCCTAGAGTAACATTGCCTGTAAAAAAAAACGTAATAGTGGAGTACATAGCTCCGTTTGCAATTCATGTCTCATGTCTGTGTAGTGCAAGCAGGTTATAACATATTTTTCAAAAAAAAAAACATTGTACACCATGGATGTTAAAGGAAATCGTCAAATATAAAACCTGTGGATAAAAATGAACATGAAACTCTGTTGGGTTGCTGAGAAACCAGTTGAAAGAAGGAATTCAAGGAATTATAAAACCATTTTGTTCTCAATGTTTTAGGTATACATTCCAAGAAGTAACCAACTCAATTCAGTATGCTGAAGTTATTTGACAAAGTGAAATTACATTCTTCGTTTTTCCCAATGACTTAACAGCAAAAAGGGTTTTTTACTTGAACTTAGTTTCCTCAATTTTCCCAGCAACCAAACAGATGATACAATATATATATATATATACACACACACACACACACATATATCAAAATAAAGTACAGGTAATTAGACGCACCATGTCAGAATCACCGCGAACTACAGCAGCCTTTATTTGTATTTCACCAGACTCCACATCAGAATCGATTCTCTTCTCCTCCGCAACATTGGTATCATCTTCCACAATCTCACCTTCCTCTCTTTCATAATCAGGCCTAGACTTCGAACCTGATATAGCACCAACCAGAGGAAGAGCAGCCGAGTCCTCTGCTTCAACCAATCTAGCGCCGTTCCGTTCGTGTTTGATTTCCTCTTCGTGTTTTCGGCTGCTGTGACGGTGGTGGCGGTGCTTGCGGCTTTTTGAGGGCTCCACCTCCATCTCGTCGGCAGAGGAGGAGCGTCGGTGCTTGCGACGGGAGTGGTGTTGGGTTTCGCTAGCCATGGGTGGTCTGTCCGTGTGTCAGAATTTCAAATCTAGGGCAAGGTTTTTGTTGGGGGAAAGGAGGGACGGACAAGAGAAATCGCCAAATTGGATAGATCAGGCCCAAGTTAAGGAGAGAAAATTAACTTGCGCCCGAACGAGGGAAAGGCCCGAAAGGGCAGAGAAGGGGGGAAAGGGAAAAGGACTCGGGAGAGAGTGATCACCTTTTGTTAGTTCGTTGACGTATAAAATGGTTAATTAATCTCAATTTAAAATCTTCACAAATGTGCAGAAAAAACTACCTGAACTATTGAAGAATTGCAAGATGCCCCAAATTATCTTTTGAAGCAAGTTAACCCTTCAACTATACAAATATTGCATATTAACCTCTGAAGGTCATAGAGTAAGCCGGCAATCAGAGTGTCACAATTACTTATTTAGCCCTACCTATTAATTTATTGTAAAAGTTTAAAATATGAACCGTAAAATACCGATAATATCCTCAATCAAGTTCACATTTTTACCCAAATTCATTATTTCTTAATCTTACAACAGTGCAATAGATTACAGCACACCATTACAATGGAAACCTCAAACAAGATCTTTAAGCCAAGAACATATGCTAGCAAACATAAAACCAACAACTAAAGAAAATCGAAGGAACTACTTGTTTATCAACCAAGTTACCTCAAGTCTAAAGTATACGCCTTTTTCTTATTTTGTTTTGCCGAGGGGAATGATACATGGATGAACCCAAACTTCCTCTTTAGTTCAAAGAACTGTTTGTGAACACTTTCATGAGAAAAGGTGTAGAGGGTTGATGGCGATGAAGAGCTATATGAGTGTGGAAGAATTAAAGGGGTTGCCTGTGGTGGCTTATTATTACTGTTATTATTAATAGGGCAAATTGCAAAAAAAATCCTCTCAACTATTAACTAGTTGCGAAAAACTCCCTTTATAAATATTTCTGGCAAAAAAATCCCCCTCAACTATCAAAAGGGGTGTTTTTAACTGATATCTGTTTAAGTGATTTTCTAAGACAATTTTTTAAACGAAATTACCCCTTAACAGTTTTTCTCGCAACGTCAACAGATTATTATTTTTCAGACAATTTTTTTTCCTCTCTATCCATCAAGCAAGCAGGAAATTAACCCTATACTATGAAGTCATTAATCATTACTTCAATTCAGAACCAAACTCCTTGAATCCAATTGCCAAGTTATTAATTCGCTTTTCCAGCAAATGTGCAACTCTTGAATCACCAAATACACATACAACACAAGCTCCAAACCTTAACAGGAAGTGAGAGAGTTCTCTTTTTTTACATTTTTCTTGTAATCTAATTGGACACAATATGGAGAGTACTCTATTTTTACATTTTTCCGACTTTCACTTTTGTTCCTTTTCAATCTTTCAGCCATCATTAACTATATAGTCTATTTTTACTAATTTCTCTATCTAAAATTTGTTCTATAATTTGCCGAATTTCTCTTTTTAGCAAAAGCCAACAATTCGAGTAAACTGATCGTCGTTCCATGCCTGCGGTTTTTCCTTACTTGTAAGTCCTCCAGTTCACATCCACCCTCGCCGAGCTCCTCCTGCCATTAATAGCCGTTGCAGTTCCTCTTCACTGTCATCATACATCAGCAAATATCACCAAGCATATCATAATCACTCCCACCGGTAAATCCTTCAAGCTCGCTGATAAAGACAACTCCTTGCGCCGCTGGTAAGTTTAGTCCCTCTGCGATTCCTCCTTATGATGACCGTGTCATCTTTTTCCTTTTCCATGTTTATTTTATTTCATTTCGTTTCTTTTTTGTCTTTAAGTCATATGGGCCCAAGACCGAATCAAGTGTTCAAGAATGACTTCTGATGCTTCATTCATTTCATACTTGCATGTTTTTCCATCATAGCATCATGGATGTATATTGCACTTTCATTTACTTTTATGCATTTTTTACTTTTGTCTTATGAGAGTATTAGTGCGATTATCTTTTTAGAGATAATTCTATTTTGGGATCCTTGTGTGATTCTTGGATTTTGGAGGGGTCACTTTACAATTTTTAGATTCTTGTAAGAAATGGTAGGCTTCTTATACCATACCCTTTCTTCTTCTTTTCTCATTTTGTTTCTCTCTCTCCCTTTCTCTTTCTTCCTCCATTTTTGTTCTCCTTTTCTTTCTTCATTCTCTTTTCATTTTGGCTATAATCCGTTCATTTTTTGGTGCCGCCATAGAAGGGAAAAATATCGAGGGCATCATTTGTAACAAAACCTTTGGTTTTGTTTTAGCTTCGAAGCATCCTTGTTTTTAGATCTTCTAGGTTGCTATCCTAGAGTGAGGGAAGTGGTGTAGTATAATTATAACCTATATTTTTTGTTGTGTTTTGGAGTCTACTATAAGATATGTAGGTGTTGTGTGAGTTGAGAGTTTTACTATGTTTTCATAGTGACCTAAGTTAGATCTAAAGTTTTAAAGCTTGATTATTGATAGATCTTTAACTTGTGTACTTATTAATGTCATTTGTATGATTTATGTATTCCTCCATGATACTTGTATGTTTAGGACTTAGAATACTTCTTAAAAAAAATCATAATTTGATTAGAGTAATAGGTATTAGCATGCTTAGAATCTATATTCATTTCACAAGTGCCTTATTTTTTCATCTTCTTGAAATTCATGACATATAGTACTGAGGACTATAAGGCATGGATTGCTTGATATCGTCTCTTATGTGCGCATGGAAGATGGAATATGCGATGAGCGCTGAAAAGTGCACATTTAAACCCCTTAAACTTAGGTATTCTAGAACCTTTATCTATCTTATTTTCTCGCTTTAGATTGATTTTGTATTATTTTCATTTTCAGATATTTATCTCCAAAATAAGCTAACTCAGCTAAATAAGAGAATAATTGAAGCAATCTTGAGATGAATCAAAGAAATGAGCAAAGTGGGAGCAAAATGAAGCAAGTGGTGGAAATTCAGCAAGTTTGATCAATCTCAGAATATATTCGATCGATCGAAAGTTTATTGATCTCAGCATTCCAAGATGGATCTAAGCTCTTTTGTCCTTATCCAAAGATCCCACAAAGTTCGATTGATCCAACTCTCTTTTGATCGATCGAAAAGATTCCATCTTATCCACTTGTACCACACTACCTACCACATTTGTCTCTTTCCCAAAAATATCTTCAAAATATCTCAGATTTGTTTTTATCCAAAAAGGCGCCGCCATAGAGGATCGATCCAGCTTAAATTCAATAGATCTCAGCTATGTTCGATCGATCGCACCACAAGTTCGATCGATCGAACTTCCCAAATCCCGAGAAAATCCAAATTCCAGCTCATTAAAAGTTGTCTCATATCCAATCATTGGAAGGAATATTGGTGTACGAGCCCAGCTCATTTGGGGTGATATTTAACTTACCTATATAAAGAATATGAGCCACTTTTTGAGGGAGACTTTTTAGACATTTGAAAGGCACAATTTCCAATTCTTAGTGAAGAAGAAAAGAAAGGAGGAGGCTAGAGACACAAGCTTGGAGTTCTTCCATCAACCAAGAAGAGGAGCAATCTCTACCATGGAGTTAGCCCTTGAGGGTTAGAGGACACCATCCATGAGTGGCTAGACATCCTCTTGGGGCTAAAGTTAGCCCTAAACATGCTTTTTATATCTTGATTTATGTATTTTTGAGGAGATTTGTATTGTGATACATGTTTTGACACTTTTATATATATAGATCTTATTTATTCAATAATTTGTATGGTTTAATGATTCCAATTGATTATTTCATTCTATCCATATGTTTATGTATGCTAGAATAGATGTCCATGTGTTTGTCTCTATTTTTTGTGTTGTTGATGCATGTCTATGTGTATTAATGTTATAGATCTAGAGATTGTCAAGACATAGTGCTTAATGGAATGCTCTTGTGTTTTATTTGATGGTTCATACTCATTTTCTTGATGGATTGTACCTCTCCCTTAGTTTAATTAGTTTAATTTCATGTCATTAGCTTAATTGTAGTTTAGATGTTAAATGGGAGGACAATCCATGCTTGTTGTTTGATGTTCCATACTTATGAAAGCAAGTAGCGCATATCTCTAACCTTGTGATGTGTTTGGATTGTGAGCTAAAAGAAAGAATTAATGGCTTAGTTTGATATATTGTGCTATCCACCATGTTGCTTAGACAATATATGCTTAATTTGTCATCCATGCTTGTTGAAACAACCACACACACACACACTTTGTTGCAATACATGTTTTCCCCCTCATTAGTTATTCATTAAAGGTGTAAAAAAGTTATGCTTAGTAGTGATCTCTAAACCCCAAGATTTCTCTCTTATTTTCTCTCCATTACATTTAATTGCCTACTTTAGTTTAAATTGCATCTTAGTGTAATTCAACCACCAACCAATCTTTTGATCACTCGACCTACTAACCCTAATCTTGATTCCGCAACCCTGTACAACCCACCAATCCCTTGGACGATCCCTACTTGCCCTAACTATATTTTTAGTGAAAGGTAGTAGTGGCAATTTCTAAATGTAAAACTTGGCCACATTCATCATAACTCTACACCATTATCTTTTGGTGCACAAACTCATGGGGTTTGGGGTTGACGCCCCCAGGCCACACCAATATGTTGCATTGTTACATGGATTATTTTGCGGATTGGTTGTTGAATTTTTGGAGATGCTTAGGACATTGTTACTTGAGAATGCTAATAGTCGAGGGTTGTTTTTTGCAATTCATCCTTATTAATATTATTGCTATTATTATTATAGCTATTATTATTATTATTATTATTATTATTATTATTATTATTATTAACTAATAGTTTTTGTAGAAGAAACTATAAGCTCACTGTGTTCGCAAAACTTTTGACTTAAAGAAACTGCTTGTCTTTTAGTATGGTCTTCCCTATGTTTTCCCACCATAAAATCACATTGTAAAATCACCCTACCTATGAAGCCTTTTTTTTTAGCTTTGGCCACCAAACCCCAACAACCCCAAATCATCAACTGCAATAACAAACCAATTATAGAATGCTAATTTTTCACCAACATTACCGACACTACTTTATCTCATCAATCAAACAATTCAAATTTATCTCAATTATATTTATTTGGGTCATAGTTTTTATGTATTTTAAATAGGTTTAGTCCACCATAACCTTGGGTTTTTGAAAGGTCTTGGTCGCTTTCAAGGAACACTCT